ACACTTCCTATTGTGCCAATACATCATCTTACTAGACTAAACAATAGAATGATTGTTAACATAATTACTATCACTATTAGTATATATTTGAGCCTCCTGTTCGATCATGTACTTTAAACCCTTGAATATACACATATTTTTCATTCACTTCTATAAGTATGGAGTGGCATCAATCAAACCATATAATCACCAAATCAGTAACAACGACATCCAAGTGTCATGTATACACTTTTTAACTAAAAAACAAGCTCAGTTTAGTCTTACAATTAGCTAAACATGTATCTCTGATACCATTAAATGTAACACCTATAACCCGTATACATAAACCAATACAAGTTACAGATGTCACATAAGTAATTCAAAACATATCTTTAATTGAATTGAGCAAAATTTTGTTTCATTCAAACATCTCAAGTTTCATAACTTGAACAATTATTATAAAATAATTATTCAGAGAAAAATCAAAATATAGTATTGTTGGTTACCAATTCAAAACCAGTTTCGAGCAGTGATATACAATTTTGTTCTATTTTCATAAAATAAATAAGACTGTCTAACACATTTGATTTAAAACCCAAATTAATTTTTGCTAAGCATAGTTTAATATCATAATATTTATTCATACTATTAATTATATTTAATACTAGCTATATTAAGAAATTGTAGACATTTCATTCTCGTATACATGTCAGCTAAGACTTTTACAACACAGTAAGATGTCATTATTGTTACCTGTAAATATTTCCTTGGTGGTTGATACTAAACTCAACTCCTTACTCATTTTCTTCCTTTTTCCTACGTGTGAAAATCATCACACGTTAATTATAAACTTAGTAAGGCAATCATATAAATATTAAAAGCAATGGAACATATAATTATAAATGAGTAATAATAATCAATGCAATGTGATCACTTTACCTGCATTCCAACCATGTTACCATAAATTAATATGATATAACCAGATATAAAGTTTCTTACCAATATACTTGGCATTTATCCCATAAGATCGTAAACTTATTTGCTTGTTTATCATTTATTAACCAATAAACCATATCCCAATTTAAACCCTGAGTACCTTGGGGAATCGAGTCAAATATATGCAACGTAGTGCTTACACATAAGGTCGTGCCCACCATATGCACCGAAGTGCATTACTTATAAGGTCGTGCCAACCATATGCACTTAGTACCCTTACACACTATAGTGATACACTAAAATATAAATTAGTGGTAATCCGATTATGCAGGTACTAGACTCTATGGCATGCCAATTACAACTTGTCCCCCAATGACTTACTTGAGCATGTAGTCTATTTATTTTTCCATCAATGACAAAGTATATTATCATAATTTAACATTGGGTAGTTAAAACTCGAAATATCATTCATGACAAATATCATATATGTTCATGATAAACATCATATGTAACGATCAATGATTAATGCATTTTATAATCAAATTTTTACATATTTAGAATATGTCAAATATATGATATATGACATAAATATCATACCAATATAAATAAGGTATACTTATTGCAAGTCCTACCCAATGATGTATATAAAACATCCATGTATAATGTTATGTATGCATTGCACTCATTTTGACATTATATACAAGTCAAAATGTAAGCCGCACATAACATTTTGGAAGTCATTCCTTACCATAGTAACTCCTTCACTGGCTCATCATAAGCCAAAGTTTGTTCGATAACATAAGTACAATTTAAATCTTCACTCACTTGGTTTCCTTAGCTTGCAAAATTCCCTTAGGATTTCATATTTTGGAAGTCACTCCTTACCTTAGCTTTGATATCGCTTGATTTTAATTTCAAGCACACAGTCTAAATAGACATCATTACCAAACATATACAAATTTAAACCAAATGTTAGAATCTTACTTAGGCATACTTTGGAAAATAAATTCCTAACAATTTTTCTGATGATTATTCGATATAATTTCCATGTCACAACATATATTTTAATCTTAATACTTGTAATAAATCACACTAGTTCATCCTAACTTCACAAAATATTTTCACTTAAGCTCCCAACCTTTCCATATTTGTGATTTAAACCTCAACTATTACAAGTTTTCCAAAATAATCCAATTTCACATCCTAAATTCAATTTCAACACTTAAACATTAATTTCCAGCATAATACATTAACTATTGAACAATTAAAAAATAACCCATAACTTTTCCTAAATTTCAATTAAGTCCCCTAACTTTTATAAAATTATAAAATGGTCCTCAAATTTTTATAAGCTTGTAGAATACATGCTACATCATTTCCCGCCCCTACCTAATTTTTCCATAAATTTTCTCATCCTCTACAGTCAAGGTCGAATGTTTTGTATGTGCAAGATTAGGGTTTTCATGATTTTACTCTATTTTAATTTGACTCAAGCATGAAATCAACTTTGATTCAACATTATAAAATCTATACAATCAAATCACTAACTTAATTTCATCGAAATACATCTTTCTCCCAAGATTAGGGTTAGGTCGAAACTTCATATGCTCATATGATCATGTACAAGTGACTTTAATCATCAATCATGCTCAAAAATGATTCTGCAACCTCAATAAACTCAAAATCATTAATCAATTTCATAAACCCTAATATGAAAATAAACACTATAATTTGGGATATTTGAATACAAACTAAATTAGCAAACAATAGTGGTACCAAATGATAACATTTTTTGAATAGAACAATTTTCTATTTTACGGCATGATCCAAAATCCAAAGAAAATTGCTCAAAATGAAAAATAAAAATTATCTTACCTTATTCATGGGGAGTACGAAATGTTGGCTGAAAATGGCTAAGTTTTCATGAAATTTATAATGAATTTCATGTTAATTTAACCTTTATTTAATCTTAAATGAATAAATTATTCATTCAATGAAAAATATACATTTTACCAACAATGCAACTTGTTATTTACAATAATACCAAGCCAGATAACCTTATCATCTTTCCAAAGTCAAAGAGGAACATAATATATTACCCTTTTCCAATTTTACCAAGCAACTTTCCAAGATTTGCAATCTTGCCACTTTGATCCAACAATCCAAATTAAACATGGAAATAAATCTTCAAATCCAATGATCTATATTATTTTCAATCATTATAAAACGTGGAAATAATATTTCTAATCTTAATTTATCATCCTTCAAATTTTCCTGAAATTTATATTCAATTTGATTTACTTAATTTTTACCATACTTTAACACTTTCTATTTTTAACATAATTTCTATATTAAGAATTTGATTTCAATAAAACCCCACTCTAAAGAGTAAACTATCCATTTATGGAATAAAAATTCTTTTTGGTAAAATTACCACTTAAGTCCCTAAACTTTTCCTAATTTTTTACTTTGGCTATCAAACTTTCAAAATTTATATTTTAGTCACTAAAAAAACATTAGGGGTATTACAGTAGCAAAATGCACAGTGGATTGGAGATTTTAAAGAAATCCTTTATGAATCTCTTATAGAAACCTGCATGTCCCAAAAAATTTTGAATGCCTTTCACTATGGTGTAGGAATGTAACTTCTCAATCACTTCAATATTTTCTTTGGCCATCTCTATCCATTTTTTTTTTGAAATTTTATGACCTAAAACAATCCCTTCAGTCACCATGAAGTGACACTTTTCCCAAGTCAATTTTTTCACACCTTTTTAGCGTCTTTTCTATATTACTCAAGCATGAGTTGAAGTCATCTTTGGTGATGAAAAGTTATCCTTGGTGATGAAAAGTCATCCGTGAAGCTATTTTTCTACCGTGTTAGAGAAAATGGCCAACATACACCATTGTAAAGTCCAAAGGGCATCCTCCTAAAGGCGTAAGTACCATAGGGGCACGTGAAGGTTGTTTTCTCTTGGTCCTATAGTGTTTTAGGGATCTAGTTGTACCAAGAATATCCATAGAGAAAGAAATAAAAGTTTTTTCCCACCAATTGATCTAACATTTGATCGATGAATGAGATGGGAAAATGGTCATTCTTGGTTGCTTTGTTGAGCTTTCGATACTCCATTCAAATCCTCCACCCCGTGATGATTCTTGCAGGTAAAAGTTCATTATCCTCATTGCTCACCACAATCATGCCTCTTTTCTTGGGTACAATTTGAGTTGGGCTAACCCATAAACTTTTAGATACTGTTTAGATAATTCCAGCTACATAATTTATACCCTTTAAGTCAGCTATAGTCCAACGTAAAGCTTTTTTATGTTGGGATAACACATTTATCAAGATACGTTATTGTTTAGGCTTCATACTAGAAGACATTATCATAGGCAGAGTTTCATTCCTACCCAAATATCACAGGCAAATTTTTATTCCTACCCAAATATCACGGGCAAATTTTTATTGCTACCCAGATAAGCATATTTAAAATGTGATTGCAAAAGTATTAACTTTAAAGTGGGTGCATGCTCAATTGAGGGTTTTTAAGAATAAATTCAGAAAAATCTAAAGGTTCAAATTACGTACATGGTCTAGCTTTGAGTAGATTAGACTCTTGCACCTCCATTGGTAGCTCTTTGTTTCCATCTTCATTGAGGCTTCAAATAGTCCTCAATATGTAAAACATTATTGTAGCAAAATTTTACAACTTCATTTTCTAGTATATAATCAATTTCTAGAACACATTGACGCTCCTCATAATCATCTATAGGTTTGAGGGTGTTGAGACATTGATGATTACACTTTTATCAGTAACTCTCATGGTGAATTCACTATTTTCAAAGTCTATTAAATTCGACCTATGGCTAGAAATGGTTGCCCCAAAATGATAGGCACGTTGTCATTATCTTCACAATCAAGGATGAGGAATTACCTAGGAAAAAAACTTGGCCAACTTCACCATTACATCTTCAATTCTTCCATCAAGTCAAACATGAGATCAGTCGACCATTTAAAAAATAGCGACGATAGGTATCACATTTCCCATACCAAGATTCATAAACACTAATTTGGGCATTAAATTTACACTAAACCTATGATCACATAGGGCTCTCTCCATGTAATTATCGCCTATAGAGTGAGTAATGAGAAAGCTTCCAGGATCTTTTCTCTTTGGTGGAAGTTTGCTCAGCACAAAATAACACTCTTTTGTTATAGCAATAGTTTCATACTTCTCAATCTTCCTTTTCTTTATAACAATATCCTTCAGGAACTTCACATATATGAGCATTTGATCAATGGCCTCTAGAAATGGAACATTGATATACAGATGGTCAAGGATGTCAACAAATTTCATGAACTAAAGGTCTTGATTTTTCTTCTTAAATATTTGAGGAAAGGGTGGTGGGGATCTGACTTATTCTTTTACATGGAAGGGTTCTATCTTTTGTTGTAGCAATCTTTTATCTTCCATTATTAGGTTCACTTGTCGATCCTTTATTCTTATCCTTATCCAAATGTACATCTTCTTGTAACTGAAGTTCCTCTTACATAATCTTGGGGTTTGGGCCATCTATTTTCTTTTCCCATAACTTATCTTCTTGGTTAGGTTGGGTGCCACTCCTTAAAGTGAGTTCACTACACTCCTTGACATGAGCCTTAGTGACTTCAGTGTCACTAGGTAAACTATCTTGTGGGCGTATACATAATTCTTGAGCAATTTCACGTACTTGGCTCTCCAAAGCTCTCAAGGACGAACTATGACTTTACAATAATGATCATTGTCTTTTAATGGATGCGGTGTGGTCTTGTAATAGAGCCTTCGTGGTCACAATAAAGTCTTGGAGAGTAGCTTCTAAAGAGTTGGTATTTGATGAAGATGTTGACCCCTTGTTGGTATTTTTCCACGATATATTTTGTTGAAAACCTGGGGGTTTAGTCAGATTTTGCTATTTATTTGAGTTGTTGGCATTGTGGGTTCCTTGATTTTCGTAAGAATCTTTGGATGTTGATGTCATCATGGGTTGTAAGTATTTGAGTAAGGGTTGTTTTTGTTCCTACTGAAGTTCCCCACGTAATTGGTAGAGTCATGGTTTTTAGGGTAGTTAGTCACATGATGATTACTATTGCAACGAACACAATAAGAACTTGCAACCTTGCTTTCCTTGACTTCATTAGGATGTTGAATATCTTTCAACATGTTCGTAATTATTGAAAATTGATCTGAAACAAAATCTTTTGCATCCAACTCAAATGTTCCTTGAGCTTTCCTCCTTATTTCTAACCTCAAAGAACATAATTAATAGTTATTTTTTGCTATCCTATCAAGGATATAAGATGTTTTCTTCAAGTGACTTGTCCATAAAAGTTTCATTTGTTAAAGTAATCATCCTTATTAGAGCATTTAAACCATTGTAGAACATCACAATTGACATCCAATCATGGAATCCATGATTCATGCACTAGCAAAGCAATACCTTGTATCTATCCCAACACTCAAACATATACTCGTCATCAGCTTGATAAAAGAAAGAAATGTGATTTCTGAGTTGAGTGTTAATGTTAGGTGGATTATATTACAAAAATTTATTTTGCATAAGTCTGACCACGATTACGTCAAACTAGATGGAACTTCACTAAGCCATGCCCTAGCTCAATCTCTCAAAGAGTATGGAAACAACTTAAGCTTAAACATATCTCATGCACATATTGTTGTCTAAAGGAGTCACACACCTCCAAAAATGCACACATATGATGTCTTTCATTCTCATGCGGCACACCACCGAACTCTCCAGTAGAATTCAACCTGTTGAAGATCACCAATTTAAGCTTAAAATGAGTTGCTTAAATCTATGGAGTTACAATTCCAAGGTTAATATCATTCGATATGAGAGTTAAATGATCTTGAATAGATATTGGTTGAGTTATGATTCCATCATTGCAATTCGCTACAACATTTCCATCTGGATGGTCTTCAACTAGATTCTGAACTATGTACATTCTCTTTGAGCACGTATTCTTTGACAAAAGAGTTGTTCGATCTCAGGTACTAAAGGTAACAATGGTTTCTCAGATCCTCTAAGGTTTATTCAATAGCAAAACACCTGGAAAAAAGGTAAACAAAAAAATAAATATATACAAAAATAAGAAATAGAATAGTGCAAAAACTAAACTTAAAATCACCAATTGTCAATCCTTGGCAACAACACCAAAAACTTGTTGCTTGTGCGAGTGTACTATATATTGATACACAAAGTATGCAAGTATACACATCAAACAAGTAATACAATGTTGAGTGAGTATCATCCCTACAGGGATTTAAGGAAATTAAGTGAAGTGTGTACACTTGAATTATAAACAATTGTTGTATATAATGTTATGAACAAGGTGACTTGATGTTTTGGAAAAAAAACAAGTGTGGAGTGTTGTAACGAAAATATGAATAAAGGTATGATATAGAAAAATTGGATTGAGAATTGGGTTATGAGATAAGATAATTAGACAAACCTCACACAAACAAAGCTCCCAATAAGGATAAAATGTTGGGTCTATTATGGAATCATATGTCTTGTCTTTTAGAATGATTAACATTTTCCATTAATATCATATTCGAAAAAAATTTCTCAAGTGTTTCAAAGCTATCTCTAGTAAGAAACTAATAGTGAAAAATGATGCAACAATACTTCTCAATGTAACACCCTAAACCATATTAGACCTAAATGTATTGCATGGTATCAACTAAACACACATGACAATTATAAAAGCATTTTATAAAGCGTAGCTCCATGAAACATTATTTAAAATAAAAAAAAATACAAACTTAGAATTTGATAAACCAAATACATGAGTAAGGTTATATGAATACATATGCCTACTAAAGCTACAATACAATGCTCTGAAGGAGATGCTGGAAGTCCTCCTGTGACGGTAATCCACTATCGACTCAAGCTACTGATCTAAGAACGGAAAATATCCGAACGCTAAGCTTACAAAGCCTAGCAATATAATTGCTAATCTAGAGTATCATTATGAATTTCATAAACATATGAATGCTAAATACATTGTACTAAGCAATACATACATGCATGATCTAAATTAAGTGCTACCTATTGTTCTATCATTGAAGTAGAAGCCTCATGTTTCCCTTAATCCTCTGCTAAGGGCTTCGTCATGAGTACACCTCTAAAAGGTCTCTAACCCTAAAAACTATAATTAATATGCATTATCTAAGTGTGACACTGACACTGCTGTGCATTATCTTAATACAATACTATAATATTATTTGGTCTCACATAGCTATCATACAATAGTTTATTAAGGGAACATGATGTGACATAGCATCATTGAAATTCCCCTTAAGCTACTGAATGATCTCCTGGTCTCACATATCCACTAGGTAGATCTGGGGGAACCTTATGTCACACAACATCGGTACAATTCTTACACAATTGAATCATTGGTTGGGTCTCACATAGTCATCAAGCAAAGCTCTAAGGATATCTATTGTACTAGACTGATGCAACTATACATGTATAACTGAGGGCCATAAGATTGCATAACATTGACAATGCTTCAGTAGTGGAACTAAAGTTATCTGATTACACTCTAGCATAGCTAGAAACACTAAAGTGAGGTCACCCTCTCACTAGCTTCTATCTCGCTTGTTCTCTTACCTAGAATGTTATGCAATGGTTTATTAGTCTATTATTTGTTAGTTTATTAAGCATCTTTATTCTAGACATTTACTATATAAGGTTGTTTTAGTCATTCTATGTTTCAAAAGAAGTCTCTACACATTTCATGATTTTACAATGATTAATGTGTTTATAGTTTGTTGTTTACAACACTAGCTATCCCAATACTTGACTCAGGTTCATTACTGGGTAGAAAACTCTAATCACTCTTATTTTACTTCTCCTTAATACCCCTTTAATTGGAGGAATGGCTTATATGTTATTGTTCACTAACAATCTCGAAATGGTCAAATATCGATACCCGTATGAGTATCAGTACAAAAAAATGGCTTCTATTCCTAAAAATTTGGCCTAGTATCGATACTATATACCATGAGTATCAATATTGTATGGGGTAGTATCGATACTTTCCCTAATAGTATAAATACTCACATATTAAAATGCCAAAATTTTATCCTAATTCATCCAATATCAATACTTGAACCATAAAATATATATTTTAAGCTTGAGAAGCACCAAAAAATCATCTTAATGGTCTTAGTTTAATTCCTATTCATGTACTAAAGCTTTTGGAAGTCATTTAGGGTCTTAAAGTGTCATAAAAACACTTTCACATCTAAAATGTCATTTAATCATGAAATCAAGTTTAAACTCTAAAATGTTCAAAAACATGAATATTTGCAGTTCTTTTAATTTATGAAATCCTTAACACTCCAAATGATTAGAAGTGCACTACCCTGAAGTTAGAATCTCGAAATAAAGTTTCTTTAACCACTAAAAGCTCTCCTCTAGGGCTTGGATGATAAAACCCTCACTTTCTCTTTAGGCTATGGAACTTGGAGTGGAAGGAGAATGAAAATGAGAAGAAAAGAATAAATGAAGAAAATAAGGAAATGAAAGAGATAAAAACTTTCATCTTTTTAAAATTGGATAATCACACTATAGGTCATTCCTCATCTTTATACAATTTAAAAACACTTTTTTTATGGTTAATTGGGCTCAATTCCAACCCAATTAAGCCCACTTACCTCTCAAGTAAACTCAAAACTACTAGCCTAGAATTTGGGGTGTTACACTCAGCGTGAACAGTATCAAATTACTATATATGAAGCTCTAGTCCTTTTAGTCATTGAAAGCCTATCTTTATTTCTAAGGTGAGTTAGGATTTTGCTTCTCAGCTCCACCTCATTGTTCATGTCTATATAAGCTTAACTCTCTTGATATCAAGCATCAAACATAAATAAAGGCTATCTCTCAAAGCTCTTACAAACCTATACGTTAAAATAATGAACAAAGCAAGTATTAAAGCTGGAAAACACTAAAACATACATTCAAACAAAAACATCATCATCCAAAATAAACTCACATCAAATAAAGTTAGTTCATGGTGGGGAAAAACCATCCATGTTCATTCATTTGATTACATCCCAAAAAAGATAAATAAAATATAAGAGTAGCTAAAGGAGAAGGAAAATTCCCAAGCTTGAGGTGGAGGAATCAAACATGCTCTCTGTGAACACTTTAAGGGCTCCCTTCGTAGGGTATTTAATAGGAAATTCATCCAAAAGCTTTTCAAATTTGTTCACGTCCGGAGGGATGATTGAAATTGCAATTACGAATGGAAGATTGATAAAAGAGAGTCAATAAAAAAATCAACTACACA